TATATATATATCAATTTCATCAGCTGTAACTAGCAAGGGATCCATTGAATATTATATCATGAATCCTTTGCAGCGTAAAAACTTGAGTTGTACAAGAAACTCACAAGCGGGGCAACTTGCTGGACAAAGACAAGATTTCAAACCATTTGGACCAGTAACGCATTTGCCGCCATAAGTACAATCATTAATCGAATCTTCACATTCTGGGATATCTGCAGCTCTTATGTAGATTAAATTTAGAAATTCCTAACTCAGAAAGAACAAATAGTTTTAGCTATTAACATTACTCTTTTAATTTTGTTAATGTCGCCTACAAAACTTCTGATGTTCTGAAAAGTTTGAGAAAATTTTTAAGAGGTAACATTTTTCACTCAAAAAGACTCAAACTGTGGTGACAAATGACTTACTAAGTTGTTTTGGCGTTTTTGGTCTTGGCTTGATAGGAGCTGCACTACTATTTGAACTCCATACAATTTTTTCACTCATGTTGATAATTTCGCTGCTATTCATTGAATTTACTTGCATACTAAACTGCTATAAGAATACTCACAAATTAAATGATTCAAGTAAATATATTTGTACCAAATTACAAAAGATATCACTCTTATTTCTTAGTTTATGCTTTACAATAAATATGTGAAGAAACATAAAAGTTCCAAGTATGCAAGGAATAAGTCTCTCTACCAAGCAGCGTAATGATTACCTGCGTATCCCTGAGAAGTAAGAATATCAAAGTGGACCACCATAGCCACTGTGCTGTTGTCCTCTTACCATGAATTATCATCATTATTAGGACTGCAAATTTGCTACCGTACAGCAAGAAAACAACAGACATATTCTTTTTGCTATCCAGTAATCATTCTGATCATTTTCTTTCAAAGAAGCATTCATCGCCAGCCCGAAGACAGTGTTTTACCCAAAATATTTCTTTTTTAAAAAGCGAAATTTTTCCTGCAATGAGTAACAGTTTTTTAGTTGATAAAGTATAGGTAATGGTCATCACGAGGGCGGTAACTACTTGAAGACCCAAATGATTTTATACAGAAGTAACAATGTAAAATAAATAAGCAAAGTTAGAGAATCAAGTCTTATAGAATGCTTTCATGTTCCGTCATTCTGAAAGAAACAATATGGGTTTTAGAAAGAAGTAAAGAAGGTATGATATGCCAAAGAAAGACAAGAAATATCGTACAAAAAATGACAATAATTATTGTGTTAACAAGAACCATTACCTTATGCTAATGACTGTAATGAAGTGATGATTACTACCACTCAAATTCAAACAGCAATATATTATGTAGGAGTTGAATACCATGATGATAAGGGCAACCACCTAAATGCTCACTGGCAAAAGTAGGAACACTATGAGCCGAAACATAAGTTGAGTGATGATACACTCTGGTATCAATAAGTAATAAATGCATTCTAAATTATATTTATATATGTTACAAAATTTTCAAGCAAATATTTTAACAACCAGTAGGCGTCAGATTCGCACAATATACATGAATGAGGTAAGTAAATTGAAAGATGGTACCTATTCCAATCATAACTGCAAATATGATGCAAAGCAGGAAAATCAAAATGAAGCTTAAGAAGAGGTAGATATAAAGAAAGATCTATGACAAAGTCAACTTGTAACACTGATGAAGAAGAAAGTATTTATTTATCTATATATGTATAGTTCGTACATACGTCCATTCATTCATTCATTCATTTCATCTTTACATTCACTCAGTGGTCCATTTGTCCATTCCAGCAGCCAGCCAGCAACATATCGATCTTCTTGGTCATCAATATTTTCAGCAACATACACTCTTTACCAGTGGCAAATATCATGCCATGAATATAATAAATATGAGAGTAAAAGTAGTAATAGCTTGGTGAGTGATCTACTGCGGCGTTGAGACTGTCAAAAGATGACAATTAGTACTGCTGAAAATGGATTACTACTCGTCTTAAATTCACCATCTCATGAATAGCTCAGAAGCAACATGCCAAGCACCTTATTTCTACAAACACTCAATGCTAATCTAAATCATCGGTCCAGGAGTAGTCAAGTAGAGAGAGCGAGTGGAAGCAGAAGCGCAATTCGCCTAAATTATTGCTGTATCCAAACCAAGAAACGTCGATTACTCAATTACTATCGCATGAATAGCACAATCATTATCGCTATCACCTACCACCTTTGACACAGAAAGAATTACAGCTGCTCTTCTAAGATTTTCAACTAAACTCTAAGCCTTATTACATAATAGTATGCTAGTGAATTTAATAATTGAGATATTGAGATGAGCGAAAAAATGAATATTCTACACAATAATAGGCAGAAAGAGAAAAAGATATTCTTTCTATACCGCTTTAGAGTCATTGTACAAGTCACGAATTTCTGAGCATCATGTTAGTGCGATTGATCCACTGCTGATATTCTCGCTGGCACATTCATGGAACTAACAGCTGACATGCGTGTCCTAAATACACTATTTCAAGCTTATTATGGATGGTAACAATAGCACGGCCACTGACTTACCCAAACAGCATGCATGTTTATTTCGGTAAGCAAAGTTGCACTATCTGATTGAGTCAACTGCAGAAAAGGAGAGCTTCTCGTCGCTTGTTAAAACTACACACACACAATACTACCAGCCATCACCTGCTCTGAAGTTAATCTTTTTCTGCTATTACTACTGCTTCCAATAGGTCAACAGACTTCCTTGCACTCTTTTCACTAGTCTGTCTAAAGTTTAAAACATTCATCCTTCTGCTTGTAATGTAATGCATTATATATGCCCAAACAATTACATTTAGCGATTCATTTCGAGGAGTGAACTTCATCCTTCTCATACACCTTCTCTTCAACTACGATACTTATTTCGGGTTAAGCTTACAAAGATTGAAAACGAAGAAAGACGACCATTATCAAAATCAATGACTAAACTTTTTCTCTCATCACTACTTTCCTATCTACTTACATTTGTCTGAAGAACAATTTCCTTCTTCTCGGCATTTCACTGCAACTACAAGAATCATACTTTTTCCACAAAACAGCTCAATATCGGTGATTGTAGTCACCGCTCATGACTACAAACTTGCAAGATTTTTAGCTCCATATAGCCTGCAGCAACACCAAGAAAAGTTTGCGTAGCTAATTATTTAGCTGATTAGCAACAGTAGTAGAAACAGATTAGTTCTCTAATTATTTCGGATTTCTGTGCTAGCTGAATACCAGAAATAAATATAGTGTACTATGGGTTACAATCAGAAGCAGTTGTATTATCCTTTATATATAGCATGAAAGGATGTATATAGTACTAAATAAACCTACCGTATTTTAGCAGTATGCTCAAGCAGAAAATGACCTCTCTTGAGCAAGTAAGCTTATTCCTGTCAGTACATACTTAAATCTTTTTCGCTTATACTTCAAAATTTTCAGCACACGCATTCCTTAAGTATAATCATCAACCACCAAATTCTCATAGTTTTTTTCATAAATAAGGCAAGTATTACGCACTTAAATGTCAAGCAATCTGCTATGATAACCGATAACAAAACATAAACAAAAATGTAACTTCATAACCTCTAAAATTATTTAAAACTCAAGAGTTTTTGCAAAAGAATAACACCATCGTCATCGTTACTACCATTTTCGATGTCAAGAAGTTATGCCAACCCAATTATTCTGCTCACCCTCACAAATCTCGATTAGAATTTTCGTTATAATCACGATTATGTTATTATCAGTCACAAATAGGAAGCAGTAGGTATGAAAAATACTCCTTTCCTCCTTCTATAGCTCTCAACATTCCTTTTCTAAACACTTAAATCGCTGCCATGCGCACATCCAAACATGAAAACAGTAATAAATCACAAAATAAAATCTGGCAATTATTTAACGGCGATTTAATGCAATAAACTACAAAAGTGAACCACTATAAAAAAGTTCCATATAATTCTCATTACTTAAATTTAGACATTCTAGACACTCTGACCGGAAATTCATTGCAAGAACTTGGCACAAAATTGTTCATTTCCGCATGCCGAAAGAAGTGAAAGAAACAACAGTTGAAGACTGAAATGAGTTCAAAAGTCAATCACTGTTTTCATGGAAAGACGACACATTTACCACACATGCACAGACATAAACATGTACAATCTGTGCGTCCTCATTACTCCATTAATGTTAATATTACACGGTACTCATTTTCTAAACTAAAATATAACTTCTGAAGCGTATGAAGTATTATAAAACCGCAGAAGCATGCACACGCACACGCACCCGTCCACATACACGCCACACTCATATAGCATTGGCGAATGACACACATACACACGCACTTCTGGTACAGAGATAGAGAGACAAAATAAATGAACTATTTTGTTTCAATAGCCATCAAGTAGAGAGAGCAGGTTAAATGAGATGGTAGTGGAATGCAAAAGATGTCTAGTAACTTTTGTTTTTTTTGACAAGTAGAGATAAGAGAAATGTGCCGTTTCTCTTTCATTGTATGAAGATCCTTAGAATATTAACTCATTCTGAAACAGTGATAGATTTGTACAGCGTAAATGTGCGCGTGTAGGTGTGCGATTGCTTCATCTGATAATAGTTTACTGAGGATAAAGTGGTCGTCTAGAATGTCTAAATTTTTGCACCAGCAATTTTGTATGATACTTGAAAGCATCAACCTAACAAGCGGAACTGGTTGAAAGTTGTGCGAGAGAATGTAGCAAGAGGACAACACACTTTCTCCATTATCATTACCTTTTAAGCAAGGAAGTAAAATTTAGATGACGAAAAGTACACTTTGACTATGAAAATGCCGCCTCATTCAATACGGTTACAGGAAGATAAAAGCTAAGTATTTATAAGTTATACTTACGTGGCATGAAGTTGTTCCAAATTAGCAATACAGCATACTACCTTTGATTCCTTTAAAGGCCACAAAACCAAGAAAAAAAGGTGGCAAATATTCCGCGGAGAAAAAGAAAAGCCGGTTTCTTGGCATTGAAACTAAAACCCAATCAACATCCATAACATTCACGCACGTCTCTGCATGCATGCGCACAGAAGGAATAAAGTAGAAGCTAGAAAACTGCCACAATTAATTCTTCATTTTTCTTCACCGAGAATACGAGTGTAAATGTGACAGCTCACAAAAGTACCGCATAATTTTCAAACAGTTACACTCGACCAACAGGTGATATTGAAGCAAGAATATCGAGTAACTGGAAACAAATACTGTAAACAGAGAAAGATGTCTCATTCTATCAGCTGTTAAATCCATTTACTATTCGGCTGCAAGCAGTCAACCTGCTATCAACGTTCTCTTCTCTACTGGTCTATCGGTATTTAGACAGACTTTAATTTCAATCTCACATGTAATAATGAAGCATTAATCACATTCATCTCTCATTCAGTACTCTAGCAAGTATTAAAAGATAGCAAATTCTAATTATAAAAAAGAAATAATATCAATCAAATCAATTACATCATTTAGCTAGAACTACAATTAATGGCAAAAACTTTATTAAGGCAGTGAATGAGCACGCCACAAACTTGATAAACTATTACAGTGGGCTGCTCAAATTGGTACTAGGAGATTTTCAAGCAGCTGAGCATGATATCAAGCAGTTACTAAATAGGTACGGAATTTACAGTCAACCTGCATGTTTAAAGAAACTGTACTTGCCAATGGACGGGCTAGGACGTGGGCCTTACAGCATTGAACAAAGAGGTGAGCGTATGCTTCTGCAACTCCACGATGTACTTGTAAAAACCGAGCCCATAAGTACCAGTACGCCGGCGATTTCGAAGCAGGGAAAGGCTCACAATACGTAGCTAACAGTTATTGTGTCCTATCATCAGACTAAATACAAGCTCGTAGAAAACCCAGCAGAGAAAAATCTGCCAGCAGGCCTGAAAGCATTACTGTATAGCGAAACAGAAAAGAAATTTCGCAATGGAAATATGTACAAAGTGCGTAGGAAGAGTTAATCTCAATGGCAAATTCATTAATGTGGCTGCGATTCGAAAACATTATTCTACAAGATGAAGCAAGATGGAACAAGACACTTCAAGACAGAAACATGTTTGGTGCTGAGGAAAGTGTGCCCACACTGTAGAGAACGTGTAAAGACAGTGGAGAAAGTGCCAAAAAATGCTGCATCATGACTACACTAGCAGAGATAATGATGTGCTGCGGTGCACCCATTTAAGAAGAAAAATGGTGTGAAAGCATTTTCTTGCTTGCGAAGCTACTCTGTACAGGTAACAGTTGCGATTGAGAACGTTGAGATAAGAGTGGAGGGAGTAAGAATAGCGATTAGAATAAGTGCGGATCGACCGTACATCCTGTGGTATGATAATAAGTGACATGAAATAACTCAGAGAGAGTTGGCATCATTAGTTAGAACCGGATAATAGCAGTTGAGACCGAGGAAAAGCAAAGGTATGATCTATCGGCTAGTGAACTCAGAACAGATATGAAATACAGAACGAAGATAATAACGCATGTGATGACTCGGGATGGGGTAGTGACGCATCGCAGTACCTTATTGTATCTTCTACCACAATTATGATATAACATTTTCTTGCACTGCGTTGCCAAATGGTCGACCGTCTTCAAGCATTTCCTATAATCTGGGCACATATTTTTTTCAGCTGCAAACATATTTCTATTTCAAAAGTAGCAGTACTGTGCTTCACCTCGTGCAGTAATGTTTTCTTATCGTAGCCACATTGATGAATCAGACATTGAAGACAGCTTATTCCTTTGCTTCTTGTATAGTTGTGCATGATGGTTTTTCGGTTCTATTTCGTTATTCAAAAGCAAATTTTAGGTTGCTAGTACGTTTTCAACAGTTGCATTGTCTAAGAAGTTTACCTAATATTTAAATATCGTAGCTTTCACCGGTAGGTGCACAACTCTTGCGTCCCATTATTTCAAGGTATTTATACCTTTGAGTTCCTTCCAAGAGGGCCGTCTTATTAGCGCATACCTCGGTGTTAGTGGCTGACTTTTCTGGATTCATCTCTAGCTCTATCACATCAAAAACCTCTACTTTTGAGGCTATAGATTTTATATTCTCGTCGGATATTGAGCCGACAGCTCAAGGGGTCCGTGCGTAAAACGAACAGCAGCGGAGAAAAGCCTTAGAGTATTTCTCTCTCTATTTTTTCTTCATTGCGGTTTCCCTATTACTGTTCAATGTAACCGACCATCTGGAGGTGATGCCTCTCAGGAACCTGATGATCCACGATGGCATGCTAAGACTTTTAATGCACTTAATAGGTATTCGTGATTAACTGAATCGAATGCTTTTTCGATGTCATACCACGTAGTATAAAGTTGGTTGTCTTGCTTTCTGCAAACTGCCAGGCTCAACAGTGCCTGTTTTTTCGGACCTTGAACTTGGATAACAGTTCTTAGTCGGTTTACTCTGCAAGTAGCCTTCTCGTTGCAACATCCAACTGCATGACACGTGCCACACATTTCGTTGTCAACTTGTAAAGGTTCGACATACAAGTTATTGGCTTGAAATCG